CATCAACCACGTATGTATACAAAGCGGATATGTCATACACACATACAAATAAGAAAAACACCTGGGTAGACAAATGCCAAATTACCACTTTTTACTTTAGATAGAGTGGTATTTTTCAAGAAACATGTTCTAATTTTGAACCTGAAATCAATAAAAGGCATTTAAAAAAATCTGTCTACATGTTTGAAACCGCATGTTGAAACCTCACTGGATATTTTCCTGGCAAGTTTTGTGTGAAGAGAGAAAGAAGCCGTCTGTCCTCTTCTTGGACGACTCAGTACTGTGCTTCTACGTACAGCCCCCCAGTCCTCAGCTCTGTGATTCCAGTGTTCCTCAAAGACCCCTTTCCATGCCCCTCCCTCCACATCCACAGAGAGGCGGCTAAGATTGTAGTAACATAGAAAACTGCTCAGAATTCCATGTTAGGTGAGGAAATCAAGGTGCAAAATGATACATTCTCTTGAATTATGGTTATCTATAAAACAAGAGTGTAATTTCCAGTAAAAGTAATGGAGGGGTGTAAAGGGCATTAACAAAAACCCCAAATTCAAATGGCTGAGTGAGCAAAAAATACATTCACAAAAAAAGATACAGAAAAGTTTAAACTTCATTATTCATTAAGGAGCTGCGATAAAAACAGCAGTGGCAGACCACCTTAGCAGGGCTTGCCTGGAGCAAATACAGGGCGTGGACTCCAGATGCTTCTACATGGCTGGTGGGCACGGAGCAGATGCATCTCTCTAGAAAGCAATTTGGCCATGGGGGCCATAATCCTGAAAACTCTTTGACCCATTCAGTAATTCCATTTCTGAAAACTTATGGAAATAATTACAAGTGTAAAAACATATTATGTATGAGGATGTTCAGTATAGCATGATTTATAATCAAACAAATAGAAAGTCTAAATGCCTAGCAAAAGGAAAACAGCTAAGTAAGTGAACCATTATATTGGTATTGTTACTATTGTTAAGTGCTGCTGAGTCAATTCCAACTCACATCGACCCTGTATAGGGTTTCCGAGAAGCGGCTGGTGTATTTGAACAGCTGACCTTGCAATCCAGCACATCATCAACACACAGCACCACTCCTTACTTATCAAATGTTAAGTGACTAAAAATACAGTATTCTAAGTAGCAGTCATAGAGTGACCAGATAAAAATCAGTCCAAATGGACAGGGACCAGAGGAGAAGACACATCAGGTTACATAAAAATAGCATCAGGGGTAATGAAGGTTTTCCTTTTCTCAATTTTTTGCCTTTTTTGTACTGTGGTGATGATCCTTCAAGATAGTGCAAACAGAGCATACGTATGCTCAAATGGAAAACAGCTTCAGCTCTTAAAGCACCTCATTTGATGCTGTTTCTCAGACAACTCCCCAGTGCCTCCTTCCTGAGTCAGCGACAATCCTGCCCTGACTCATTCCATTCAGTCCATCCAACACCATACACCATGAAAGGTCTACACTACAAGGACCCTTCGTGGGAACCCAACAAGAGGGAGAAAAGGTGCGACACGGGGATGTGAAGACTCAGCCCCTTCCCTCCTGAGCTCAGCATTCAGTGGCAGAGCCAGGCACAGAAGCTCAGAAAGAGACCTGGGTAATGGCTTTGCATATTCTAAGAAAGAAGCAATTCTGATTGGGGGAACGGAGAAGGTGATACTTGAGCTGGGTCTTGAAAAGAAGGCAGTGTAGTAGTTTGAAGTATAGGGAAGAAGAAAGGGACTTTGTGGAAGGGAACTGCATGAGCAAAGGCCCTGAAGTGTAGCCGGTTTCATGGGTGGTAGCCAGGGTGTCAGACACCCAGGGTGTTCATGGTCAGAGTAGAAGATGAGCCAGAGGGAGCAGTGAAGATAGGTCAGGTATGGCCTTGTGTGCAAGGACACAGCTATCAGCCTTCCTTTTGTGAATAAGGGGGTACCTCTGAAGGGCTGAGAGCAGGCAAGGACAGGCTCCCTAGAGAGGTTGGAATGTTTCCACAACTCTCTGTGCAGCAGTGGGCTCCCAGAAGGCAAAGCAAAAGGAACGTTTAATGCCACACAGTTGGGTCCCCAAATGAACTAGGCATTGTAAAACTCTGCCCCATTTTGGGCTTTAACTGACCTTTGTCCTGCACCAGTACCTCCAGCTCCTCCCGGACACCGTCGTACCAGCTCGTGATGTCCATGTGGAGAGAGTAGTCACAGCAGGATTTGGTGTCAGCTGCTTCATGCCACTTCTCAAAGGAGGTCAGCAGGCTGGACCCAGGCTCAGGGACAACGTGGTCAACTGGAAGAGAAAAATCAATGTTATGCTCCAAGCTGCTTAGGGCCCACGTTGTTCAACAAGTATGTGCTGATCTTCTGAACTCACAAAGTGTAGCATCTTTACTGCATCATGATCATCACCAGCATTCTCACCATCATCCCATCACCACCCCAATCATCATCATGCCCACTATGACTATCATCAGCATCACAACCACTGGTGTGTCATGGCTGCTATGAAAACCATCACCATCATCACTAGCACACATTACAACCACGAGCACTAGGAAAGGCATCACTACATCCCTAACCACCACTGTTGTCATGATGACCACCACCACCATGACAACCTTGTTATCACCATTGTTTTCATCATGACTTCCACCTTCTTTATTACCATCATTGTCATCGTTACTACTCTAGCTGTTAGCAGTGATGTCATCATCACACCTGAAGTCTTCATTACCACCATCATCATCATCACAACTATTCATTGAATGTTTACTATGTGTCACATAGTAGCACAAGGCCTTTACCTAAATTACCTCATTTACTCCTCACAACCATTCCATGACGTAAATATCGACGTTGCCATTTGGCATAGGAAGAAATTGAGGTTTAGAGAAGGTCAGTGCTGCCCAAGGCCACACAAGTAGTAAGGGATGGGGAGAAGATTCCAGAAGAGGCCTGTCAGATGCAGTGCCCAAGTTCTGAAGCACTATGCCATACTGCTTTTCTTGCCAAGATGAAAAAGAATAGAAATGTTCTTTTCATAATTCCTTTTAACAATAAAATCACAAATGAAAACTGATCAGCAAGGGAGCCACCTAGCTTCATAAATTTCACTTGGATTCACATGTTCCTCTAGGTATGATCCTGTTTCTCTGCACATCGACCTTTCATTGCCAAACATCTGTACGAGTCTCACTCTCACCTCAAACAGACCACCAAGTGTTAAGTGAAAACTGGACTGAAGCAGAAGAAGGCAACAAACAAGTCAATGAGGGTCAACGTAAAACCATGAGTGAATGACGTCAGAATTTAGGGACTATGCCAAGAGTAGATTTGATGCAGTGAATGATAACATAGATCTACTGACCTAAGCAAAATGGAGTTGGTTTAGTCATTAGGTCTTGATAAATGAGGACCCTGCAAATGGGGAAGTTAGTTTAAAAATTAGCCAAGATGACTTCATGGTCCTAGAAGGAGAATAGGATGTCCTTAAACCCACCCAGTTTTCTCAGGAATGTCTGAGAAGGATTATTGCCTTATTGTTTCTTTTTCCAAAGAGTGTTATCCTGATGTTAAAACAGATGACAAGTGTACATCCAAATGTAACTTGCCCTATATAATGTGCCTGCTTATCATAAGGGACAGGACAGTCTTGAGAGATGATTCTCCCTGTCCTCCAGACTGCTGGCTTTCTGTTAATAAAGCTTGGATTGGATCTCTCCCCATCTTTGTGATTGACTACAGTGACAGGTGGCAAACCCTTGTTTCAGTTTGCCCACATAAACAGTAATGACTGGAGACCAGGGAAGTTGTGAATCTGGAAGCTGTGCAGTAGATATTGTCGTGCATGGTGGACAGGTTCCAGCTGAGCTTTCAGACTAAGGGACTAAGAAGGAGAGACGGTCGACTTCAGAAGGGAATGCATAAACACTGATATCCTAGGCAGTAATGAGCTGAAATGAACTGGTACTAGCCATTTTGAATCTGGAAATTACATGGTTTACTATACCGGGAATGACAAATTGAAGAGGAGGGATGTAGAATTCAACATTAAAAAGAACATTTCAAGATCTATCCTGAAGTATAATGCTGTCTGTGATAGGATAATATTTATACACTCTGGTAATGTGATGGATTACAAGCTAAGCTGCTAACAGAAAGGTCAGTAGTTTAAATCTACGAGCTGCTCTGCAGGAGAAATATGAGGTTTTCTTCTCCCGTAAAGATTTATAGTCTCGGAAACCCCATACAGGGTCGCTATGAGTTGGAACGGACTCCACAGCACATAACCACCATCACCACAAGAAAGAACAGTTAATACAACCATTTTTCAAATTTACACACCAACCACTAAAGCCAGTGATGACAAAATTGAAAAATTCTTCAGTCTGATATTGATCAAACATGCAATCAAGATGTATCGGTAATTACTGACAACTGGAATGGAAAGTTGGAAACAAAGAAGAAGGATCAGTAGATCGAAAATATGGTCTTGGTAATAGAAACAATACTGGCGATCACATGATACAATTTTTTTTTTAAAGTTTTTATTGTGAATTATGTGGGTCTACATGGGAGAACAGGAATCCTGGGGTGGCGCTGTGGGTTAATGCGCCAGACTGCAAAGCCGTTTGAACTGCAAGGTC